GTGAGTGTCAAATAAACCTAGACTCCTACCTGTATCCACGTCACCTTGGTATCCCAATGGAACGATCCATATGTCATAACATATAATATATGCACTGAGTTTGTTTTGCGGGGGGTGTTAACTAATGCACAAGAATGGTGTGTTGCTTTTTAATTATTATGTTTATGTTCATGGACATTGGCGAAAGAAAGATGGAATGAAAGATGAAAGGTGCTTAAAGAAGCATTGAGCAATCGGAGCATGCTCGGATTTACCCCAAGAGGCTGAAATAGAAACATCACTCGGAGAAGACGTGCAAAGTAGAGAACAATTTTATTTCGTTAAAAGTGAGTGCGCTTCTGCAGGATATACTCTTGCTATTTAGAAGATAAACTATATATGTGTTATTTTTCCAGGTGAGTCCCACTGAGCTATACAACTCTTTTTCAGAAGCAACCTAGCCACAAGTGGTAGCTCAACGAAGTGGCGTATCACGTGGAAATTCATAGCAGGAGCCAAATATTCTAAACGCGTGTTGTTTAATGAGGTGGGAAAACCCGGAGGACCCGAAGGGAAATCCACGCGACCACGTAGAGAACATGCAAACTCCAAATGTAGAGCAGGCGTCAAGGTTGGGATCGAACCCATGACCTCATGTACACTTTTCGAGGTAGTTCACATCTCGCTACTGTGGCATCACGGTGGTGAGATATGCCCTCGATGAGGGATGATGGCAAAGGTGTCGAGATTAACAACAAAGTGAGAGCCAAAGAACGAAACACGATGGAGAGGGCATCCACCAGTGAGATGAAGCGATTCATTCAGTTCATTTGCAGGCGCTTAGTGGATTGTTATCTCCCATTACCATCATGACTGGCTTTATTATGATCACCCAATGGGATTCGTCTAAGATGATACGCTTTGCTGATGAGCATCACGTAAATGGAATCCAGCTTTGGTTAACAAATGGTCTGGCCGATTATAACACGGAATTCATTCCAAATGATTTATCAAACCCCGCAAGCTATAATTATTTACAATACAGTATTATAATAATTAGCGTTTAAGGAATGGGCGATGAAAATTCGTGACTTAGAGCGCTTTGCAAAACACGGTGAAACAGCCTCTGGGTTAACAACACGTGATCCGTGCTGGCTATGTACAAGCCAACATCAGAACAATATTTGACAGCATTGATAGTGACAAATTCAATACTTTGCAAAATCAATACTGTTCAATAAACCAAAAATTCATACGTAAAAAGGTTTCCCAGAAATTAATTCGTGGAACAGTAATTTTCTGAATCCGTGTGAGCCTAATAATGAATCTATCAAAATACTGAAATAATTAGTTAGACTTAAATAATTAAAATTTTGATTTAAAGCTTTCATGACTGCAGGGATTCATATTCTTGGTTCTTTCCCTTCTACGTGACTTTACCGAAAGAACCAAGAATATGAAAGAATTTAATCAAAATTAGCACTCGACCGGGTGGCACAATTATGCTAAATTCATGTCTGGTCAGTTCAAATACCGCTCGAGGTCGATAAATCTGGTACCATTGTTGGAAACCAAAGTAGTTCAGCGTATCAACACGCCTCTGCCACAGGAAGGTGGAATTTCCACGAGTGCACCGCTTACTCACCCCATCCCACGGCGAGGACCGAGAGGGCGGCCAGCAGGTAACCACGCATGGCTCCACAACGATGGTGGTGATGATGATGATGTCGTTGATGAAGTTTGTATTTAACGCAGATCCTTGTTATCTTTGATTGGCGGCGCGAAGATTAATGCCCATGGGTTCTAAATTAAAAATCCCCAGCCACCTGGGTCCTGCATCGAACTCTGATGTCCTAGGTCTACGGAGTCCTGAAAGCACCACTGTGAATTGAACGCAGTGTCTGGAGTTGAACTCAGTATTCTTGAGTCTGTGGACCAAGATCCAAGTTGGGGAGAGGGTCTTTAGTACTCCCCTCGGTCTCGGGGAACTAGGGTCTGGGGACGAGGATCCGGGATCTAACTGGGAGTTCTGAGGTCCGGGTCTCCGACCGGGCGGGCTATTTATATGCGTGCACTTGCTCATGCGTTAATGTGTAGCCGCACGCGCGCGTGTGCGTGAGTGTGCGTGTGCCAAGCGCCACTAATGAGTCATTGCGTAAACATGAGCGGGTGTACAGGTGTGTCCGCGGGTTATAGCGAATGTAATAGATGCTAATGAGTAATAGGTGCTCGCTAACAGAGCTTGCCCCTGAAATCCAAGCAGGGGAAGTTGTACGTATGGGTGCAGTGATGTATGGACACAATTCTATTAAATAGTATGGACTTATTCCCACCATGAGAATGCAATATTTCCCAATTTTGAGGGTCCCAAAACATGTTTGGAGAACCGACAGCTCGCAGGGCGCACTTGGTTTCATACGTCACAAGGCACGATAGTCTTGCTCGTAATAAAATACTGGGCACGTCACAATGTGTCACGATGTATGTGCGACATCAACGACAAATATCTGAGCAGGTTCTGGGCCTCCCCCTAGATCGACTCGGCTTTAAATTGCTTGCCTGGTGTGATATGGTGGTGGTTATGGCAGTGGTCGTGGAAGCGCGGAGTGGTAGTGCAGCGGTTAGCGCGCTGCGTCACGAACCCGTTATCCCCAGTTCGATTCCCGCTCACGACCACCAACACCAGCGACGATTATCTGAACCGGTCATGGGCCTCCTCTATGTCGACTCAGACTGAAATGAGTACTTGCTGCGGTGCGTAGTAAACATCGCCACTTTGGGAGACAAAGGCGGCCAGGTTCGTGGTGTTGGCCACCCCTCCGCCCTCGCGTCCAGTTCCGGCCTTCGTGGATGCCCGCGAAGAGCACTCAGCCCGACAGTCTGCTCAGGGGTATATCGGCGGGATATTTGTCTTTGCAATTGGGTGAGTTGAGCTCCGCGTGATCTCGTGCGTGCACGAGGGATGGAGGCGCGTGAGTTCCGCTCGTACACGCGGAGGCCCCTGCGCCCACCCCCTCCCCTCCACCCCCCGACGATCTCCGTGACCCCACGACTTGTGTTATCCACAGTTCACAATTTGAAAGCTGTAAGTGACGATTGCATCCCCATAACACGGGAAACTAGTGCAGGCCAAAAAAAAGAGTAAAAATAAAGAAAAACAAACACACTGCACAAAGTGTAACACAAAACAAATATCTTCAGCGCTTCTTTGCAGCGTTCCCTGTTACGTTCTTCAGTCGTTTCCTGTAATTCATTCCCATTTGGTTTATATAATGCCGATATAAAAATCATAACTGAGGTGGTTAATACTTTTCCCATTTATGTTTCTGCATTTGTATCCCCAATTAAGTTGGCATAAAGTATTTTATGTCACTGCGAATAGCTCTGCTCAGAGTACATTTCCTTACCCGACTCCTCTTACTAACATGTATTTTGTGATTGGCTGGCCTCTAATTGTCCATTTAACAGGTCCCTGCAGGGTGGGCTGGTCCATTTAACAGGTCCCTGCAGGGTGGGCTGGTAGGAACATTGGAATTTTGCGCAATTTTATTTTTACACCCCAACAGCACGATATTTCACGTCGTTAAAGTATTGAAAGGGGACGGACGGACGGACGGGCACATTAATCTATTGCAGGCTGGTACACTCAGTTTACAACTTCGTTCCTACCAGTATCAATTCTCTATAATATTTTTGAACAATTTATATGCACTTTAAAGGAGGCTACCTTGTCTTCCTTTTTGAATACGTGACAAATCGAAGCATTATTCCAGGACCGGGGTGTTCCATTTTCATGTAAACGTTTCATTAAAAAGGCGCACTAATTTTGATGCAACATTCAGGCCTGCTTCCTTGATAATGCTCAGGTATTCAACCTTGTCCAGTTCTTCCTTTTCGTACTTTGAAGGTCAATGGTTACTTTCAAATGTGACACCTGGAATCTTCTCCTCCTCGCCTGAAGTTTGATGTTTTCTGGGGTATATTATATTCTTTAAAAAAAAAATCGAGTTTTCTACTGTGTAGCATTCTGCTTACATCATTAGGATTCCATCTTGCTCTCTACAGTCCACTAGTCGAGCTTCACCAATCATCAACTTCATTTGATCTGTTTTTATAGGTTATATGACATCGATGACATGCTTTTTTTCTTCCAAATTCTCTCTCAATTGTTAACGGTTGTTCAGTCCCATGTAGTCTTACGTTATTGTTATTTTCTTTGACTAAGAATCACGGAACTTTTTTTTAAAATATTGTACTTTTCACATCGCTTATTTTCTTCAACATGCTGTGTGTGGTTCCATATAGCTTGTTCTCTTCTAGTTTGTTTTTTTACTTTGACCCCCCCCCCCCCTACTTTCAATGAATGCCCAGTCCATTACAATCTTAGTTATTTTTCATTACTGGTGGTGACTTCCATTTCACGATTTTGCTTTTGTCAATTGAATCTGCTTGTAATCAGTCTTCCTCCTAAACTCGTTTTTTCATCTTAACCACTTATTTTTAAACTGTAATTAACTTTGTCATCTCTTTGGCGATGAAGTGTAACTTGAATTGCATTAGCCTTGTGATCACTTCCTGTATGTCATTTTCTGGGTGTCTGTGAGATGTCAATTTCATTTCTAATTTCTCTATTTGAGATCCTCCATATCAATGCCATCGTCTCCATGTTTCTGAGGATGACGATGGAGGTGTTAGCAGTAATTAAGGTGGTGGCGACTTTTCCAAACGTAGTAATGATAATGACGATGACACTAATGATAATAGCAGTCATGACAGTGGAGATGTTAACAGTAATACATTGATATTGGCATTTTAATTGCGCTGGAATGGCTAAATGAAACATACAACTAAAAAAATAATCAACACCTATTTCAACGATACGCCGTTACATTTTCCAGATTAGGGATTAAGCGACACAAGAAGCTTCTTCTGACATGGCTATACAACAGCAGATGAGAGCGCGTGCCACATATTGCTTCCGTCGCCGCACTTAAACACATAAACCTCTCGACATGCGGTTATAAACTGGAAGCGGCCTCATGTCGCATCCTCCTTTATTGAGCCTTCCGTGAGTTAAGTTACGCTCTGTCAATGGTTAGACTCGGGCTAACAGGGGGTTTCACAAGTGCGGCAAAAGATGAACATTTAGAGGCATCAATATTTAACCGTGAGACCGTGGTAAAGGGGAATGAGACACTTCAAAGGGCTAGCGAGTCATGCTGAAGGTAGGAATGTGATTGCACGCACACATAAATAGCTAAGGGTATAATAATTATAAGTCAGCAGAACTGCAAGACTTATAATTGGGTCTGGGCACGTTTATTATGTGTACAGTGGACTCGTCCTCCACCATGTCACCGTCAACATCATCATCACCTCCACCACGACCATCATCACAACCAAGTCATAACCACCAAAACCTTCATCAAAATTATCAGAAATATTACATATTTCATCACCTCTACCACAATCACCACTATCGTCATTACAGCTAGCATCAATCTTACCACCCACCATTACCACCACTGTCACGAGAGCTCTCATCCACTTCAACTATGCAGCATCTCCATTTGTCACGATCCTCATCCATGTCTATTTGAAATTGTAGGACAGTCCTTGACTTACGAACGGGTTACGTTCCTGAGACCCGTTCGTAAGTCGATTTGTTCGTATCTCAGGACTCAATGCTGTACTGTATTCAATTGTACAGTCAGTGTTATAAATTGTGTTTTGATTCAACAAAAAATGAAAAACATCGTGAAACTAATAAGAAATATTGCAGATTTGCATGTAATACTGTAATAAATACTGTATAGTAAATAAAACATTAAATAATGGAACACGAAACGAAAAAAAAAATCTGTTTTATTTTCAATTACCTTGAGTCCTGATTCTGGCGTGCTTATCGGAAGGGGTGTGCATCTCACAGAGGACAGCTCCACCAAACAAAATAGTTCCGTGGTTCGGTTTATAATACGATCGAATGTTCGCAAGTCGGATGATTAAAAATAATAACGTAAGTCGGAAATTCGTATCTTGAGTACTGTATATTTTCACCATCATCACCACAATTACCATCAAAATTCCATCCGCCACAACTATCTTCATCAACATTGTAATTTGCACAATGATGCTTTCAAAAATAACATTCATTTAAATACGTTTTTGGAAGACAATGTTTTAAGTTGTTTGTACATTTCTTTTCGTTTATTAGAAATGATTAAAGTTACGATTCAATTTAGCGCGAGATATTTTTACAAGTCTGTTTCCCAATTTTATCCCGATTGTGCTGTCAGTGTTATGTCACTTTACGAAGAATCCATTGGAAACCCCCTGCATTACACAACAGCCCGTAGAATTGGATATCACCATAGTAATGTCTGTTGCATTACAGTAAAACCGATATATTTCATTCTTCACCAAATTGAGCGCAGAACCATATTTCATGGTTTTTTGCACATTCATTGGTAGCTAGGCAGAGGGCATCAACTTGCTACACTCGAGAACCCAGTTTTATTGCAGGATCTCAACAGTGGCAGCTTAGCGCTCTGACCTCTGACCAACCCACCTCCTATATAATTAACAGTGTATTGTATAGTTAACCGAGTTAAACATGTGAATAGTGGCAGCATGATACGCAAAGTGAACCTCTGCATAAAACAGCCTCCATTCTTCAAGACGTCTTCACACTGTCACCGTGGCCACCTCATTAGCGATTCCTAGAGGAGAGAGAGATTATGAGAGTTGCGAGAGAGACAGATGGAGACAGTAAGAGCTGTTAAAGATAAAATGATGGGACATGTAATTGGTGGCAAGAGTGGCACAGTGGTTCACGCACCCTGAGTTTGATTCCTCGCCATGGCCAACATCAGTGACGAGTGATATGTGAACCAGGCAGTCCTGGCCACCGCGCCCAACTCGCCAAGTATTGTTAAATATGACTGACAAAGGATGGGGGAGGCTTTCATCCATGAAGTTAACTCACGAGTGGCTGTAAAATAATTAATTGTTTTGCGTTTCAGTCGGGATTAGAGAAGCATACATCTGAGGAAGTGGGTTTACAGGGCATCCACTATTAAATAATTTAAATTCAATGGAAGATTCATCAGGGTCAATAAAACTACAAAAAACACTTGTTCGTGTGAAGATGTTAAAACGTGAGTTCCATCGCTCTCATCCTCCACATCACAATCCATGGTGCTGGCGACATTTAAGATTTGAGAAAGTCTTAGGTATTTTCCAGCGTCTTGGCTGTAATTGGTCCAAATGCTCATGCAATGGCGCTCTTGAAATCACCCAAGCTATTCATTTCTTGGTACACATGTTATCTTTCACTAAATCCCAAAATGCAACCGTGCAGGTAAGACTGAAATTCAATATAATTACTTAACAATGGTTGATATCTTTATGGACCACCCTGAAAGTTGTAACCCATTACAGGTCGTTCCAGAGTGGGGTGTGGTCTCTGTGGAGCCAGTTATAAGTTTGAATCGGGGATGGGGTGTAGGGGACGTCAATCAATGTATCTTCCTGCTTCAACGAGTATAAGGAACCGCTTATTTATGTTGGTGACCCTAAGCCAGCGGTGGAAATTCCATATTCCCATGGTAGAGACCAGTCTCTTCATAGAGTGACTTTAGTTGATTTCCCACAGTGTGGTGCTCATGTTATCAACCTCGGAGAAATTATGCACCTTATTCCATTTACATATTTCCCCACCTCCCCTTACTCTATCTCCATTATACCTCTCTTTGTGTGAATAAGTCCTGGATGTGGTGAAGTGACCTCTCTGTGGAAGTGGTTAAAGGTTTAAGTCTAGATCACGGTGAAGAGGTCCATCTATAACTAACAAGAGGTTTCAGTTATAAACTTGGAACAAAAGTGATGTTAGGGTTTTTCTACAGGTGGTTATCGGTTTGAATCCTGGGCATGGTGGAGGAGTTAGGTCCCTCTATATGTGGGTATAGGTTTGAGTCCTGGACGTGGTGAGCTTGGTGCTGCATGGTCTGCTAAAGGCTTGCTCACCACACACGTTCTCAAACATCTTGATGTAGATGTACCCATCGAGACCCCACTCCGGGCCCCACGAGTTACGGACAATCCAGTACGGGAGGTCACCTACAAATGTGGACACACAAACACAGCGACACACACAGAGATAAGCACACAAGGACGTGCATGAATGCACGGAGTAAGGACGCTGAATAATATTTACACATGCATTCGCACATATATACAGATAATGCCATCAAGCCCTGCCAATCAACTACCACCCAGAGGCTCACATGCGAGTAGAGTTGAGACGTTTTTGTTCAATTATTTTGATGTTGTCCAATTAGTCGGGAAATGGAACTGATAATCGGGAAAGTGATCGATTACTTAAATAATGCGATAGCCCAGCTGTAGGTCACAGCGTTTCGGTGCGTACCAAGCGAGTATCCGGTGAGTGTGACGGCGTGGTTGGGTGCCGAGGAGGAGCAGTGGTGCTGCACCACGCCACCCAGGTAGTCCTGCCAGCTCACTGCATCCACACTCACGGCCAGCGGACCCCGGCCCACCAGCCAGCCCATCATGGCCTCTTCGTCATCGCTGCTCACGGGACACAAAGAACCCCCACATAGCCTTTTACAGACTGTTGCGGCGAGTGCCGTTAGTGAGCACCGATTAAGGTCGGCATGGCGCACAAGGAGGTGATGTGACCAGCACCACGCTCGACCGGCTTTATCCCCAATACTGATGTTTACACACTGCACCAGGTACTAATTTTAAGGCTGAGTCCACCAAGGGGAGGCCTAAGACTGGTTAAAGATATTCGCCACTGATGTTGACTGTGAGCGGAAATCTTGCTCTCGTCGCCAAGTTCATAGAACCGTGCGCTAACATCTACATTACCACTCCTCAAAGACAATGATCACCCTGATAGTCTTAACACACTCCTGGGGCAAGTGCTGTTAATGAGCACCTATTGGTATGGCACACGAGGGGGTGGGTGTCCAAGCACCATGCCTGGCTGCCTTTATCCCCCAGTGCTGATGTTTACACACTGTACCAGATACTCATTTGAGGCTGAGCCGACTTAGGGGAGACCCAGAACTAGTTCAGATAATCATTACTGATGTTGGCTTTGAGCAGAAATCGACTTCAGGCTGCCAGGTTCACAGCACAGCAAGCTAACCCCTACACTACCACTCTTCACGCAAAGTCACAAGCACACACATATGCAGGCACACACACTTATGCATAATGATATAGGCACGCACACACCACTCACACTTGTACGCACGCATGTACCGGAAGGAGTGCGATGCAAAGTCCTTGATTTCCACACCAGGAGTGGAGTTCGTAAAAATCCGGCATGGACCAGCACTGTTAGTGAATGGGTACACGGATTCCAGAACCAAATGCAACCGTGTCTACACACAAACACATACAACAAGGAATAAAAAAAGATTAGCCACAAATGAAATCGTCGAAAAATCTGCTAATTAAAGCTGATGATGTAAAAGTAAAAAGTATAAATGTGAGGTGGTAGACATCTCAGTTGATCTAGCTAAGTCTGTGATGGAAATTCCACATTCCTTTGACAGCGGCCAGACTATTTATAAGACAATGACAGAAATGGGACTTATTTAATTGATCTCAAAGTAAAGATGGGCCAATTTTATGACCGGCAGGGAAATGAACTCGTAACCCTAACGCTAAACATTTTCAAAGAAATCCTCACCCTGGCAATCATCAGTGTCAATAATTTTTCAAATGTTTCTTTGGATGTTTTGAGAATGTTTACCATATGGGTTGTTTGAATGCAAGCTGGAAAATAGGTTTAAGCAGGTTCAACCATGTTAGCCCTGTTACCGAGCTTGGCGCAAGCACCTTGATGACGTCAAAGATGCTTATTGGTTCATTTCTGTTGTCGTTGTTGTTGTTGGTGACATTATAGTTGCTGTCATTGTTGTCGTTGCTGTTGTGTGCGGGACCACGGCCATACCTTATTGAGCCAGGAGAAGGCCGTGACAGTATCACCCCCCTGGCAGCCGTGGTTGACCCTGGAACAGTCGAGGACCTGCTGGACGCTCAGCGGCTTCAGGAGGCCCCCCGCTAGCACGCTGGCGCTCTCCACGACCTGCACGGACGCAAACGCCCAGCAGCCGCCGCACTACACAGACGCACGCACAGGCGCACGCACAGGCGCACGCACAGGCGCACGCACAGGCGCACGCACAGGCGCACGCACAGGCGCACGCACAGGCGCACGCACAGGCGCACACGTGTATGCATTTGTATGTAGAGATATGCAGACATTCATGCAGGGACAGACACACACATGGGGGGGGGGCAGATAAAGACAAAGATCCCCCGTATCACCTTAACAGACTTTTTTGGGGCAAGTGTTGTGAGTGAGCACCTATGAAGGCCAGCAAGGCACACAAGCGGGTGGGTGGCCAGCACCACACCCGGCTGCCCTTGTATCCCTCGTGGCAATGTTTATATATCACACTAGGCACTTATTTGAAGCCGAGTCGACGTAGGGGAGGCCCAAGACGGGTTCAGAAAATCGTCACTGGTGTTGGCCATGAGCAGGAATCGAATTCAGATCGCCGAGTTCGTTGCGCAGTGGTAATCACTACACATGCAGGGGCAGAAATGCAATCACAAGGAAATAGAAAAAACATCCTCCCCCATAGGCTTTAACAGACTGTTGGAGCTAATGCACGATGGGATGGTATGGCCACCACCACCCAGTGCAGATGTTTACACACCGCACTGGGGACTCATTTACAAATGAGTCAACCATTGTAAGGCTCAGTACTGATTGAGATTTGAACTCAAGCTACCAGGTTCACTGTGCAACCACTCCCCATGATACACACACAGACTGAAGCACACACAGGATGAGTATGCATATGCCAGTATATGGGCACAGGTAGGGACAGGAGCATGGCTACTGGTGGAAAAGATGTGTACACTGGGAATGGGAAAACATGGGTCGCATGTCATGAGTACTATTCACACACCAAACACAAAGGTATACAGCGTAGGGCATGCGTGGGAGAATGAGTATACTTGCAGAAGATTGCATGCACACTTGTGTACATGGGTGAGTACATGGACATGCACTCATGCAGTGGTGATTAAAGCTACCAAACAAATACCCTGTTTTGGCCAGAACAGTCCAGCTTTCAAAAAGGCTGTCCCAAAGCTTTTTAAAAAATCAGGATAGTGTCATGGCTTACAATTTCTGGTCTCATGCTCGACTCATAATACGGGAAAAGGACATGGCTGCTTGAGTGGTGATTGATGCTGGCAGAGTAGTGAGCAGGGCCTATCAGATGTAGGTGGGGCTAATGTCAGAAAACAAAAGGAGGCCACCTCACTGTGTGCGGAGCTAGTGGTGGCACGAGTGTGGCTATGTAAAAGTTGGTAGGGTTTGGCGGAGGACGTACCTGCCAGCTTATGATGTGCCTTGGTGGAGCCTCCAATACATTTGGTAGCTTTAAGCAGTGATGGTGGGGATGGTGGTAGAGGTGATAGTGGTGGTAGTGATGACAGTGACACTGGCAGGCAGTTGGTAGTAAAGATGGCGTTGATAAAGGAGGGCGATTACTGATGTTTGCGGTGACGTTGGCTGTGAACCTCACAGACTCCTGGTTCTTCACAGCTGTCACCGCTCGCTTGTCCCTCCAGTCAAAGTGCGTGGGAAGATTAGAGAGTTGAACATGGGGCCCAGGTGGGGCTGAGGCTCCACTGTAAGCAGGGGGGCCCTTCGTCCCCAGCAGAAACATTTCTGCATGAGGGGGTGCGGTGGAATGAGAACAGAAGGCAGTGTGTGGCAAAAATAAGCTTAGCCTGGCACAAGCATCATGATGTCACCACGAAATATTGAGAATGGTGCTGTCGTGTGTGCACCTATGTATCATTAGCAGTGGGTACACAGACATGGCTGGACGTGGTCACAGCTACATCAACCCTTCCATTTATACTGTACTCCACTACAATAGTCGGGGGAAATAACAGAATAAGCAGCATGTTATCTCAAAACCTCTACACCTTTCTCATCAACCTCAGTACACTCCGGCGTAACTTTTAATACTGATTGTAAGATATGGGAGCCATGGATTTCACTACAATCGACCTGTTGGCAAGGAAGAGAGTCATTATGAAGTAGTGGGGTATCTATAAATAGATTATCCTGTACAATACAATACATCTAAATTGTAAATGTCGAGCTCCGCAATTGCTTTCTCACGCCACTGCCGGTGAAAGGACTTCCACAAGAGAATCTTGGCCTACTCTTCCATAGCGACCAGGCGTCCTGGAAGACCTGCCGTTCAACTTCAGCCACAAGTATCCAAAGTGTATATGGTGCAGTGATTGGAATCGGGGACATCAGAAGTGCTTGCCAAGCAGGGTCGACAAGGCCATTATGATGAGACAGTAACCCCTTCGTGTTGTGCCGTCTCTCTTGATTGCCATACCTCGGAACTCTTGCGGGGTGAGGTCGGAGAAGCGAGTCACTCCGTAGCGGGGCCGCCACCGCGACCCGTTGTGCCGGGCGCTCGCAGCAGCGTTGAGCCATTCGTGTCGGCGAAGGCTCGCCTAGAAAACACAAGACGAAGATTAATGTCTGGTTCAATGAGTATCGGTCATTAACACTGCACCCACAGATCTCTCGTGTTGTCTTCATCTGGACTCTGTGAGCTTGTCATTAACACTGCACCCACAGATCCCACGTGTTCTCTTCGTCTGGCTCTGTGAGTCTCAGTCATTAACACTGCACTCAAAGATCCCACGTGTTGTCTTCGTCTGGCTCTGTGAGTCTCAGTTATTAACAGGACCCTGGGGGATCCCTCATGTTGCCCTTAGATCTCACCTGGTACACGGCGAATCTCTCGTCGTATTCCCGCTGGGAGCTGTACTTCTTGCCGAACCTCAACACAAACTCCTCGAAGGACGAACCCGTCCCATGGTCGCTACTGCGGTTAACCGAGTCGGCATTGCGGTTAACCGAGTCGGCATTGCGGTTAACAGAGTCGGCATTGCGGTTAACAGAGTCGGCATTGCGGTTAACAGAGTCGGCATTGCGGTTAACAGAGTCGGCATTGCGGTTAACAGAGTCGGCATTGCGGTTAACAGAGTCGGCATTGCGGTTAACCGGGAGGATATCGCGATTATCGCGATCGGCATCTCCAAAAATCGGGACGCATAGCGACGCGGCGAAGATGACCAAAGTAATCGCATTACCGGTAAATAAATACATTTTATTTTTTGTTTAAAAAGAAGAAAAACTGTACACAAACTCCCCCCACCACCCCCCCCCCCCGGAAAACCTCTATGAACAAAAGCTGCTATACCGAAGCACGCGATTAATTGAGCAAACACACAAAACGTTACGAATTTGTCACGTTCTGTTTTATACGTGACAACCCTTACTAAATTGGCCTGTGTCGGGTGGCGGCGGGCTTAACGACACATGTACACCCCCCCCCCTCCACGTGATGAAAGACGTGTTCACGGCCTGCAGTAGTAACGCGTTCAATACGCCGCCTACGGGCGCGGTAAAAACTCCCCCCCCTGCCCCCCCTGCCCCCACCGCCGCCGCCCCCCCCCCCCCCCGCTGCCGCCCCCCTCTGCCGCCCCCCCTCTGCCGCCCCCCCCCCGCCGCCCCCCCCCCGCCGCCGCCCCCCCCCCCGCCGCCGCCCCCCCCCCGCCGCCGCCCCCCCCCGCCGCCGCCCCCCCCGCCGCCCCCCCCCCCACCACCGCCCCCCCAACCACCGCCCCTACCACCGCCCCCCCCCACCACCGCCCCCCCGCCGCCGCCCCCCACCACCGCCCCCCCCCCAACCACCGCCGCCGCCGCTCGCGCCGCGTTCTTTGCTCAACGATAATAAATAAAAAGGGGGGGTGGGGGGGGGTCTCGCCCCGACTGGGCGCTCTCAAAGCGAATCCGTTCACGACTCGGCGCCCTTCGCGAGCTCCGTTGGGGGCGAAGTGGACGCGCTCCGTTTGCCCCGAGAAGCTTTCCTGACGAAGAAGACGAAGACGCCGCCGACGCCCTGCGTCTCTCTCTCTCGTCTCTCTCTCGCCTCTCGCGCGTTTCCGTCAACGCAACTCGCCCCCAGGGTAGATTCGGCAAACGCCGCGCGACAACGGAAGAGAAAAAAAACGCCGATTTCTAATTGCGCTCTGCGTTTTGTCGTTCTATAGAGTTCTGTACGCTCGTAGTGAACGCGGCGAAATTAGAAATTAGATGTGTGTGCGTGCGTGTGTGCGCTCCGTTACGTTGGCGAGCAACGCGGCCTGGGAAAACGGAGCCCCCCCCCCTCTCCCAGCAATGACTCTGAATGCTGAGGGCTCAAAGAGCCAGCCTCAGGCTCAATTGGTGTCCAGTGGCAATGTTTGGGGCTCAAAGAGTCAGCCTCAGGCTCAATTAGAGTCCAGTGGCAATGTTTGGGGCTCAAAGAGCCAGCCTCAGGCTCAATTGGTGTCCAATGTGTCAATGTTTGGGGCTCAAAGAGCCAGCCTCAGGCTTAATTGGTGTCCAGTGGCAATGTTTGGGGCTCAAAGAGTCAGCCTCAGGCTCAATTAGAGTCCAGTGGCAATGTTTGGGGCTCAAAGAGCCAGCCTCAGGCTCAATTAGGGTCCAGTGTCAATGTTTGGGGCTCAAAGAGCCAGCCTCAGGCTCAATTGGTGTCCAGTGGCAATGTTTGGGGCTCAAAGAGTCAGCCTCAGGCTCAATTAGAGTCCAGTGGCAATGTTTGGGGCTCAAAGAGCCAGCCTCAGGCTCAATTAGGGTCCAGTGGCAATGTTTCGGGCTCAGAGAGCCAGCCTCAGGCTCAATTAGTTTCCAGTGGCAATGTTTGGGGCTCAAAGAGTCAGCCTCAGGCTTAATTAGGGTCCAGTGGCAATGTTTGGGGCTCAAGGAGCCAGCCTTAGGCACAATTAGTGTCCAGTGGCAATGTTTGGGGCTCAAAGAGTCAGCCTCAGGCTTAATTAGGGTCCAGTGGCAATGTTTGGGGCTCAAGGAGCCAGCCTTAGGCTCAATTAGTGTCCAGTGGCAATGTTTGGGGCTCAAGGAGCCAGCCTCAGGCTCAATTAGGTTCCAGTGGCAATGTTTGGGGCTCAAGGAGCCAGCCTTAGGCTCGATTAGTGTCCAGTGGCAATGTTTGGGGCTCAGAGAGCCAGCCTTAGGCTCATTTAGTGTCCAGTGGCAATGTTTGGGGCTCAGAGAGCCAGCCTCAGGCTCAATTAGGGTCCAGTGGCAATGTTTGGGGCTCAAGGAGCCAGCCTCAGGCTCAATTAGTGTCCAGTGGCAATGTTTGGGACTAAAAGAGCCAGCCTCAGGCTCAATTAGTATCCAGTGGCAATGTTTGGGGCTCAAGGAGCCAGCCTCAGGCTCAATTAGTGTCCAGTGGCAATGTTTGGGACTAAAAGAGCCAGCCTCAGGCTCAATTAGTATCCAGTGGCAATGTTTGGGGCTCAAGGAGCCAGCCTCAGGCTAAATTAGTGTCCAGTGGCAATGTTTGGGGCTCAAAGAGCCAGCCTAAGGCTCAGTTAGGGTCCAGTGGCGATGTTTGGGACTAAAAGAGTCAGCCTCAGGCTCAATTAGGGTCCAGTGGCAAAGTTTGGGACTAAAAGAGCCAGTCAAAGGCTCCATTAGGTTTTCAGTGGCAATGTTTGGGGCTCAAAGAGCTAGCCAGGCTAATACTCCATTCGGGTTCAATGTACTGGGTGGTCCAGATGTCTTGTGACCACCCGCATTTAATGATCTAAAACGCAATATGTTTTACGTAAGGATTACTTAAAACAGAAATGAATATACATAGGAAAAAATGTTAGGGGTCGATTAATCGGGGGTCACAATACATCCGGACCACTCTGTAGACGCCTGTAGCTCAGAGCCAGCCAAACTAAGGCTCTTTTAAAGTTCAGTGTCAATGCCTACGGCGCTATTGTTAATGCACGAGGCTCAAGAGGCAGACTAAGTCTTCATTAGGGTTCTGTGTTAATGGCTTAGACAGTTCCTCCGTACAGAGCCAGACTAAGTGGCCTCCTAGTGTTTATATATTCTCTAGGCTACGTGTTCCTCTGTGTCAGTGCAATTCCAGCGTGCGTCTCTCCATGCCGCTTGCTTGAACTTTCAGGTTTTGTTACATTTACACTGCGTACACAAATGATGAAACATGAACGGGACGGAACACGCAGATCACGCACATTTAAACTGGCCCGCCCCTACTGGACTACTGTGGAAAAGAGCTTAATAGCTCATCGTATTTACTCCAGGAAAATGTAAGATTCCGGTAAAACATAACTTCAGTGTAATTGTATTGTTGGTAAACATCTTTAAATGCCTGGAAGTGTGTTATATGAACGTAAGAATGGAATTCTGTACATGTTGAATAACATTCCCGCATATTTATTTGCCAGCATAAATAAGTTGATTTAGGAGTAAGTTTTGATTATCGCGGGGTTTGCTACTCACCAGTTAATGTTCGGTAACTCTTCATTTGGCATAAAAAAAATACTTAATAAAAAACACGTTTCAAATGTAATTCTCATCAGGCCTCATAAGTGTTCAAAGGGGCAGTCTCCAAATCGTATCCGGTCTATCTCTCCGGCCTCTCTGCGTGTCAATAAAGAAGGCCCATTCCCCGAAACGTCGCTTAATTAAAACATTGATGAATGTGGAACGTTCGTTAGGGATATTGCGGGCGACGTTGGTATCTAAGTTTCCGTAGTGTAGTGGTTATCACGTTCGCCTAACACGCGAAAGGTCCCCGGTTCGAAACCGGGCGGAAACAAAGCTTTTATTTTTTTTCCCCCTCACCATATTTATGTTAACGTTCATGTAGCTACATTTTAATTGTTGATGATCGAAAAAATTTTCTTTTGCTTTTAAAACGTCGCACAAGCACCTGAAAGTTATTATAATCGAGCGCTTCCTGCTTATCGACGCTAGGATTTGTAAATTCCCGCAGCCAGCGATGCACTTTGAGAGCCAAGGAGACGCTTTCTCTAACTAGAAAATACAAAAAGGCGATTCTTATTATTACTACGCTCGGGGCAAAGGAAAACTGCGAAATGTACACTCATGTGAATTTAGTAAAACGAATTACTTTTTGAGACGCTTAATACGAGCTACGAATTCGGAACAACGAACGGCATTAGGGGGCGATATGACCATTTAAGTTCCGAACGCAAGTGCATTGTTAACAATATCATAAGCGGTAATCATGTGCGCATTTAACATAAGTCTGGCCTTTTACAGGCTTAAATGTTTGATTCACGTTTACTACATCGGAATAAGAGTGATGCTGCTGCAGCTAGTCACGCCGGACTTTGAGCCCCGAGGTGAGAACCGGGACCCCCCTCCCGCGGCGCGAGCCCCGGCCGCCGACGGTCGCCCCAAACGGGCAGGGATTGTAGGCGAGGCCGTGGCTTCGGTCGGGCCTTCCGTCAAACAGCCGTGGTCAATCCACTGCTGGACGGAGGACCTCCCAACCAGCCGCTACCAATCTCGCGTACGTTAATACAATTGTTGTAGCGGATAATTGTTTTTTTTCTAATCAAAACTTTTAATGCCACGGCTACAATGTCATTGGGGATGTGTTATGATGAAAGATTCATTTAAAAATGTTTTTTTATTGTTGATTCATTTTTTATACTTTGACCTAACATTAGCCTTGGTAACGCGTGCCATATAGCTTTGTAATTTGCCGTGTTGTGTGTGTGTGACCCCCACGGGCATCTTGAGGTCTTAATCCAGCAGTGGATTGACCACGGCTGAACATGATAACCCGTGCACTGTGGGAATTTTGGTTGATTTTGTTAATTGCGAATTATATGTAACAGTCGTAGGTGATCTTGACTTAAAGCTTTCGTGACTGCAGGAATTCATATTCTGTGGGTCTTTCGGTAAAGCCACGTGGCTTTTACCGAAATACCCAAATAATAGTCGTAGGTGACTTAAATTAAACACGATAATATAACTCACTTTTTTTTGTGCGAGTTACAATGCCTGCCAGGGTCATTCTTTGGTTTAGCACCATTCGCATAATAGTTTTCAGCAACGCCATCAATAAACCATGATTATCATAATCATCATCGAAACTTTGACAGAGAACCACTTTGTGGAAAGTCAACACCGGCCATCCTGTGGAAATACTAATCACAGGAATGTGGGATTTCCACCACGACTTTTAACACCACCCGATGCTCACCATAAAGAGAATAGCTACTTTTATTTGTATTTAAAAGGTGTTGTCTGAGCTTCAGTTGTACACAATGGGCTTTCGCATGGTTAACGAAAGGACATGAGTGAATGATCTCAGATGTTCCTCATGCAGGTGTTGCCATCTCAATGGCTGACTGATGTTGTCAGACGACCTGCATGGATTACCCCAAGTCCCATGGAGATACAGTATGAACATTTAAATAGAAGAGATCTATATTATTGGTTCTTTCGGTAAAGTCACATAGAAGGGAAACAATAAAATAAAAAAAATATATTAAACAAAATTCTAACGACGTTTCGACTGCAACACAAGCAATCATCATCAGGTGTGAAAACCACAGCAAATTTTCATCATCAGGTGTGAAAACCACAGCAAATTTTCTTGCTGTGGTGTTCACACCTAATGATGGTTGCTTGTGTTGCAGTCGAAACGTCGTGAGAATTGTATTGTTTTATATTTTTTATTTTATTGTTTCCCTTCTACGTGACTTTACCGAAAGAACCAAGAATATCAATCCCTGCAGTCACGAAAGCTTTAAATCAAAATGTAGAAGAGATCTGTTGGAGTTTGACATAAGGTACACTCTTTTCAAACTACAGGTCTCCCTGATTTAAAGCTTTCGTGACTGCAGTAATTCATATTCTTAGTTTTTTCGGTAAAGTCACGTTGAAGAGAAACAACAAAATAACAAAATATATATAAAACAATAAATAATAATATATATATTTTGTTATTTTGTTGTTTCTCTTCAACGTGACTTTACCGAAAAAACTAAGAATATGAATATACAGGTCTCCCTGTTTACAGTAGAACGCGGATGTAAATCGCGTCTAAATCAGGGGTCGGCAATCAATCTTACAGACATTTTTTTATTCGGTAAAAAAACCCCCCACAATTTTTCAAGAGCCGCAATGCATGTGAGTGAATACGAGACGGCGGTCCTTAATAAATAACGTCACGAAACACTCCTCAAAGGGCCACATGTGGCTTTGGCGCCGCGGGTTGCCGACCCGGGTCTAAATGCGAGGACATCTCAAGACTTTTTAGACAAAAAGTAGGCATATTTTATCGAATAATGGAGGCAGTCGGTCATAGAGGGAAAAAAAAAGAGAGGTCTTGAACCTGGACTATTACAAATGGGATTGCTCTGTCACACGGTTCAATAAAGGACTGACTTTGGTGACCCCCATGCACCCTGCTGCTGTCAGCTTTGCCCCGGCAGACCGGGCGTGTTGCCGTGGTGACGGGAGGTGGACGAGGAATCGGTTTGGAGACGGGGAGGCGACTGGCTGAGTTGGGAGCCCACGTCATCCTTGGTACGACCGTGGGTTACACACAGACACAAACACGTGGGTTACACACAGACACAAACACGTGGGTTACACACAGACACAAACACGTGGGTTACACACAGACACAAACACGTGGGTCATCCTTGGTACGACCGTGGGTTACACACAGACACAAACACGTGGGTTACACACAGACACAAACACATGGGTTACACACAGACATACACACATGAGTTACATACAGACACAAACACGTGGGTTACACACAGACACAAACACATGGGTTACACACAGACACAAACACGTGGGTTACACACAGACACAAACACGTGGGTTATACACAGACATAAACACGTGGGTTACACACAGACACAAACACGTGGGTTACACAAAGACATACACACATGGGTTACACACAGACACAAACACGTGGGTCATCCTTGGTACGACCGTGGGTTACACACAGACACAAACAAGTGGTGTCATCCTTGGTACGACCGTGGGTTACACACAGACACAAACACGTGGTGTCATCCTTGGTACGACCGTGGGTTACACACAGACACAAACACATGGGTTACACACAGACATAAACACATGGGTTACACACAGACATAAACACATGGGTTACACACAGACACAAACACATGGATTACACACAGACACAAACACGTGGGTTATCCTTGGTACGACCGTGGGTTACACACAGACACAAACACATGGGTTACACACAGACATAAACACATGGGTTACACACAGACACAAACACATGGGTTACACACAGACACAAACACGTGGGTTATCCTTGGCACGACCGTGGGTTACACACAGACACAAACACATGGGTTACACACAGACACAAACACATGGGTTACACACAGACATAAACACATGGGTTACACACAGACACAAACACATGGGTTACACACAGACATAAACACATGGGTTACACACAGACACATGGGTTACACACAGACACAAACACATGGGTTACACACAAACACGTGGGTTACACACAGACACAAACACGTGGGTTATCCTTGGTACGACCGTGGGTTACACACACACACATGGGTTACACACAGACATAAACACATGGGTTACACACAGACACAAACACATGGGTTACACACAGACACAAACACGCGGGTCATCCTTGGTATGACCGTGGGTTACACACAGACACAACCACATGAGTTACACACAGACACATGGGACATCCTTGGTACGACCGTGGGTTACACACAGACACAAACACATGGGTTACACACAGATATAAACACATGGGTCATCCTTGGTACGAAATGGGTTACACACAGACACAAACACATGGATTACACACAGACACAAACGCATGGGTTACACACAGACACAAACACGTGGGTCATCCTTGGTACCACCGTGGGTTACACACAGACACAAAAACATGGGTAACACAGACACAAACACATGGGTTACACACAGACACAAACACGTGGGTCATCCTTGGTACGATCGCGGGTTTCACATATTTATAACAAAGATGAGTAGGAATACACAGATATTCACACAATGCAGACATACTGGCTGACATAAAGACAGATGCATATTTACAGATACAGAGTGATATGTCATCTGTGAATATTGGTAAAATGAGCAAGGAAAATAAAAGAAAGTGTGGAAAAGCCCCAAGGGAAGTCCACAATATGAAGCTGAGCTAGTAATTAGCCAGCAGCAGATTATACTGGATATGAACTCTACACTATAATTTTTTTGTAGTACTTTGACATACTATACACATGACTGTTTATATGTGTCCTTTTTTGTGGTGATCTCTAGATTATGGCTTATTAATACTCTTATTTGTGTTCAGTTTGTCAAATTCCTAATTGAGTTTTAATTGCTTTGTCCTTGCCTGTTCATCAGCATCCAACAATGAGAAGGAAGGAAGCGAGGCCGCTCAAGCACTGCGTTCAGACACGGGGAATGACAAGGGTGCGTAACATCCCACACCACCCGATGGAAGCCACCTACACGACCGCAAAACCTCACGTTACCTGTGTGGTGGTACTCAGCTTCTTTGAGGGGCACTTAGCCAGTGGCGGAATATATCCACATTCCCACGACAGAAGCTAGTGTCTCTCTCTAAAACCAACACTGTTCTTGGGCAAATAGCCAAATTACCAACCACCAAATCCCCTTAATTCATTACATCACACTAATTGACCCTCCATTCTATATTTGGATCTCGAAAGACATGAAGTTGTGAGCCTTGTTAGTAATTAGATGAGTGACCACCTACACTGGGCTTGCCAGATGTTGTATACAGGGGCTCCAAGGTAGTCAAAAAATGACAGGGTTGAGTTTTACTCCTCGTATGCGTGGGCCTACCCTGGGCACTTTGAATGCAGAACCCTCCTTGAAATACAATCTAGTGACTTGGATGAGGCTTTCCTTGGTAAATAATTGCCATTGCTACACTTTACAGATGAAGTGAATTTCTACTTGTATTTGTTTTTAATCATATAATTTGCACTTGCTAAATTATTTGCACACACACAAAACTGTTTGGGTAAGTGCTGTTGGCGTGTACCTATTAAGACCGGAGAATGCACAAGGGGATGGTGTAGCCAGCACGACCCTTGACCGCCTTTGTCTCCCCAATGCTGATTTTTTATGCACCACATCAGATACTCTTTGAGAGCTTAGTTAATAGAGCGAGGCCCAGGATCGGTTCTAATATCATATCCCACTGATGTTAGTCATGGCAGGGAATCAAACTCAGGTTACCTGTTTCATAAAACAGAACAATCATGAATCACTATGTGATTGATAAACACATACACATGTGCACCACCTGAAATAAAATGAATGCATTCTCTCCTGACAGTGGATTTCATGCACCTGGACCTGAGATCCCTCTCGTCCGTGCGAGACTTCGTGAACCGCTTCCGATTGCGAAAGCTGCCCCTGCACATTCTCGTGAACAACGGTGAGGCTGAGTCCACCCATTCGCAAAGTTCATGATCAATCGGACATCATTACCAATTCTGCTGATGCTACCACACTTAGCCAGCACATGCTTCCTCCTTCCAGATTCAACAACATGCATAGTTATCACCCAACCTCCAAAATTAGGTGCTCTTATAGTGGTCTGACATCTGGTTTTCTATCTTTTACCAAAGAAAGTCTCAATGAGTCTCAAGACCCTTTTCAGGAGTGTCTCGCATTGTGATGCTTGGCCTTTTTCTTTTGTAAGCCATATTTTACTTTGTGTGAGATAAAACTGAAGTACCCGGAGAAGTCCTACCATGTATAGTGGAATAACACGTACATTCCTAGTGATTTGGTTGTAGAGAAAAAAAGAAAAGTCCTCACCCCAGAATGGACACAGCCTTGTCCACCTGCTCGCCCACTTACTCCGTCCCCTTGTACCGGTGCGTGCGCGTGAGCAGCCGGTGTGATGCTGGTGCCACTGCGGCTGAGCGCCGACGCGCTAGAGGAGCACCTCGCTGTCAACTGTGTGGGGCCATTCTTGCTGACGGCGCTTCTAACTGGCGCCTCCGAGGGCCCGACCCCCTTGCGCGTTGTCTGCGTCTCGTCGGCCACGCATCGCGCTGGGTGCCTCCTCTTCCATGACATTAACTGCAGGTCGGCTTGACAGCAGCAACTACCACTGCAACACAGTAATAATTCGTCCGTATGAAAAGTCACTTACAATAAGTTGGACTCGGAGATGTCTATCAGAGGGATGCACTTGAAAAATACAGCATAATATTTATACAAAGATACAAATATATAAAGGTAGACTGGGATCGAAACGATTAAATTAAAAGGAGATCGACAGCAGGATGGAGTACTTTTGTCAAATGAAAATGTATAATGAAAGGGAACATGATAATTTATCTAAAGAGGAACGTTTTTAATTAGTGTATATGACCTTGTAAAACATAGATCAGTAGTATGGACATTGACAAAGAAAATGGAAAGTGCGTAGAGAAAGTGCAGAGTTACGTGCTTGGAATTAGACTTGAGAGGCAAAAAGAGGAACACGTGGCTTACAGAACCTTCACAAATTATAGACATTATTGATGGGATGATAGTCAGTGGACGAAGTCGAAGCCAAAGAAGGGAACACACCTGAGTGTACATCCAGTGCAGAGATGAAGAGATGAAATCAGCACTTGTGCAAGAAATAGATGAATTGTTGCATTGCGAGATCGGCAGAGGTGTCGGTGGCTGGAGTAGGCCTTCATGGAGCATGGGATATCTCTGGCTGCTGATGATGATGATACTCATGCAGAAGCACTTGTGTGCACGTGTGTTCATTCATTGGTCTCTGTGCATGTATTTGTGCCGCTATGTGCCTCCTCCATCCTCCCACAGCGAACGCTATTCCTCATACGCCGCCTATGCCCGCTCCAAGTTGGCGCTCACGCTATGGTCGCGCCAGCTGCATGAGCAGGGGGGCGACCGTGTCACCAGTGTCGCCGTGGACCCTGGGGTCGTGGACTCCGAACTCTACCGCCACGCGGGTGCCTTTTTCAGGATGGGCCAGTGGCTCACGGGCCGATTCCTCTTCCGGGTAACGTCCCTTCACACTCCTAACCCATCCATTGTGTGCATTTATATTGCTGGCTGGGCATTAACACTTACGTGCTGTTTTGTTTTTCACACTTTCCAGCTAAGGTTGAAAGCATCCGTGCATTCGCTCAGTGTTTTTCTGACTGCCTTGAACGTGGAGGACACAGTAACACTTGTAAAAGTAATCCAATATCAACGAAACTTTAATATAAGTCTATTATATCATCTACTTGCATATCCACTTATTTTTCGATCTCCCTTTTTGCATGTTCAAATGTGTTCTCTGTCTTCCTTTCCCCACATCCAGATGTGTCCCTTGAGTTTCCTGTCTCCCTTTCCCCATATCAGCATCAGAATAAATCTTTATTTAGACTGGAGGAATCCAATGAGCTATGCAACTATTTTTCACACGTCCAGTAGGGGTGGGTTAGCAAGTTACATATGCACGTGTCGCTACGTCATGTGTTTCTTTATGTGTCTTGACTTGCCCCTTGTGTTCCTACACATCCCAGTCCACCCGCCAGGCCGCAGCCGGTGTCACGTATGCTGCCACTGCGCCCGAACTGAAAGGCCGCCCTTGGGCCTACCTGGAAAATGGCCACCAGATTGAGCCTGCACAGGCCGTGGAAGATGCGGCGCTGCGCACACGCCTTTGGGAAACTTGCTGCCTCCTCTCCGGCCACCATTGGTGACACTTGGACCACAAGCGGAGATACAGCGACCTTGCGATGACGCGAAAATTACTTTATAAAAAATAATTGATCTGTGATGATTTATTACCCAAAGCTCTATAAGCAAATTAAGTAAATGTAGTATGAGCCGCTAAACCCCCACGCTAAGGAGTTCTGCCCCCACCCTGTCCTGATGGCGAGCGGCATTGTGCTCTGGAGAGGAAGGGCCCCTCCCCCACCCTCCTGCTTGGCTCGCCATTTGTGAGGGTTTGGTTGAGGTCCGTCCGGATCTCTTCTCAAAAACACTTGTAAAGCCGTCCACTCACACAAGCGCTTTGAGCACAGCTACTCCTCAGATTGGTTTACCAAAAACTAAAAACCACCAACTCCTGGTGGGTGGCAGTGCTAATGGCGGAGTGGGCGTGGCTAATGTAGACATGGGCGGGACTGTTAGTGGGTGGGAGGGAGGTGCCACCAGCTCATTACCATGTGTCCTGGTTAAACCTCACAGTAATGTGGTAACCACCCCCCCTCATGTTGATGCCGTTGGGCCAGTCGTAGGGTTAAGATCGCATGGGGGAGAATTAAACCGGTCATTGACTGGTTCTGAAAGTCAGAAACCGGTCACCGATTCCAGTGGAGTTTTACGCACGACTGCAACAATTTAGTAAATGTGCCCCATTGTTTCAAATAGCCGCACCGGGAGATGGAACGTAAACGGCAGCCTCTGGGTTGCAGATCCGCTGTGGCGTCGTCACAGCTGGGAGCCGTGTTGTTGAATTCTCTGATTATTGCTGCACGAGCCTGTGTGCGTGTTTCGGACCGTCCGGAACAGCTCCAAGATAGCAGCTGTCAAGACTGACCCTATTCCTGACACAGCTCACTAGCGTTGTTCAACATAAACAAGTAATATGCATCAGTGCCCAGGCGTTGGAGGCTACACGCTGCCCTTGAGTTTACCTCAGGGGTCCGAGGCGACTAGCTGTTCTCTGCATCAGACCCCGAACGGGATTCACGTGGTTTAGTGACGTTCACGGTGATGCGAGCAGGTGGATGTTTTTTTAATTGTTGTGTGTTGTGTTCATGTTGTGGAAAATATTAATGGGTTCGTTACAGGGATTGGTGGTTTTTCGTTTCCGGTTAACCGATCTGAGGGGTGGCCGTGCTCTTAGAGCTCCTGTGGCTGGACGGCTTTACGAGTGTTTTTGGGGGGAGGTCCGGACAGACCCCAACCAAACCCTCACAGTACTGTAATACAATGGTATATTTGACATTCCAAGTGAAGTATTATCATTACTTGATTGTTGTGCTCTGGTCATTGTTCAAAGTCAAAAGAGTATATGTTCAAACAAAGGCAAGGAGTATGAATTCGGATTGGGAGTCGTTTGAGCTCCATCATTGTTCCTGCAGGATCAGTGAAATCAGTACCACTTTGAGGGAAGTAAAGAGTGATTATTCTGTGGATAATCTGACCCCCATTGTGGGTTTCTGAGTTCTCATCACTTTCTCAGAGCCATTAAAGGAGATCAGCACGACCCCAATTCCTGTATGAGCTTAGAGACACTTTGATTTAACTTTATTTAAATGCCAATTGTTATTTCATCACAGTTATGGTTATGTCAGAAGCTGAAGACATCCTTCCAAAATACTGCCTGCAAGCAAAGCATCAAATCAGCAGAGCAGCCTCATTGGATGATCTCAGACTTGTGGATTCACTTTTCATTCAACACGAAACCATGCACTTTCTTTGTAAATTATGGTTTGCTATGTGTTGATCATACGATGTATTGATAAATATGTTGGTTATAGGGTTGTTTGACCATATCTTACCATGCAGGTTAAAGAAGCGGGGAACCTAGGGCTCGTTGAAACATCATTCGCCAATTATGTTAGCTGTGTGTGCCGAGTAAATGACAAATATCCAGTAATGCGTTGAGATGTTGAGATCATCTCACTGCGCTTAAGATCCTGGGATAATCACTGGCGGCTGAAACCTGGATTCTAATCCTGGATATAACAGGTGCCAACCTGATATTTCAGAGTCATTATAAACCCTCGAAGAGACAACCAGATCCAGCGTTTGAAAGCAGGGACTCATTTGTACCGATTCAGTGGCTCTGATATTGGTTTGAGTTAGGGGTGGCACGGGCCGGATACGACCCGCAAATTAACGTCACATGGCCCGTGGCCAAACGAGGCCTACCCCTTAGAAACCACCTGGAAATTATATTCCTCACTGCAAGCATCTTAGGTGAACTAATTGGATACTGGAGAGGAATATTTTGGACCTTTTAAACTTTCCAATTTTATGCGCGTTCAGTCACCTGCTTCAACTAAGTTTTTCGCTCAGTCAATACAGTCCTTTCATAGTCAAAGTTAAATGTCAACTAATGTGTGGCTCTCCATAGATATATATAGAGTCCTATTCAGTCCTATCAAGAAACATTTCCCACCTCTAGCATAATAAGTACTCTTGTCATTTTAACTGCCTTTATGTACTCAGGTGAGGGCCCTTTGAGGTACATCGTCTCTTCAGCAAGGGATATGTCGGGGACAATTCACTGGTCTTTTACTTCACCGGGATATCGACCACTCGCATCGAATATCTGTGGCGAAAGTGGTCTGATTGAAATAAAACCTCATTCAGCAGCTACTTGAATTTGAAACAAACATTGTCTGATGTATTATATCTGAAATTGACGGTGCCTGTGTGTGCTTTTTTTACCAGTATCGATGAGAATCGACCGGTCTAGTCTAACGTTTTAAATGCAATGCCATGACTCGTGTTTGTTTTCTTGCAATTGTAAGGGTTTGAAGATTTTTTTATGCAACTGCGTAGGTTAAACGGCTTTTCATGTCTACTTACATATGATTATTGAAACGGTTGTATAATATCAAATCAATCTTATATTTTATAACTTTGAGTTCATGTTTTGCTTACAAGTCTTGGTCTATACAGTACTGCATCTATTCAAGTACCATACCTCTTGCATTACCGTTTGTCAAATAACATTATACAAAACATTGCTTAATACTAATATAAGTACTTTGGGCCAAGCTCCGCAATTCTTAGTGCGGATAAGTATACATTGACAAAGACACGTTACATTTCCCAATACGGATAAGCAACACCACCAGAACACTATATTTCCCAGCTTGGATACGCATCACGCCGCTCACTAGTATCACAATCCCTAATGCATGTAAGCATAGGTCCAGGCCACTCCGTCAGTTAACGGCCATGGCGTCAGCGGTACGCGCTGCCTTCGACGCCGCCGCCTTTGTCGCCAGGGCCCTGCGTTCGCGTGGCCTCAAAGGTCCCTGCGTCCCCTCGAGGCCCCTGCCCCGGGTCCCCAGGACACCCCGCATCGCCTTCGCTGCTCTCACCCTGGGGGTCGCGGCCGCCGGGGTCAAAGAGGCACGCGCGCACACGCAGGTGCGGTCTTCCCACCGCCGGTCAAACATTGGGGGCAGTCGCTTTCGGAAGCGATAACTTGAGAATGGATTCTCGTAGCGCCGCCGGACTGGACGCAAAACTCAGCCGAGCTCGTGTCCATCAAACGTCCAGTCTATCGCTTGTGTAACAAATGTGCGGTCTTCGGTATGCGTACGTGCAATTAATGGCTCGAGGGGGCTGTGGTCGCGTATTGTGCGACGGTGCGGCGCTTCCACGTCTCGTCTTGCCGAGCAGCTTCAGCCAAGTCATCATAGCCGCCGCCGCCGTCGTGGTCATCCTGATCATCTCTTGGTCCTTGAAGGGTATAGCGTCGAGACTCGACGATGACCGAGGCTTGCGAAACTCCGAGAAGGATTCGCGGCCGGTGTATTAATTATGGGCACGGAATGTGTTCGCCGAATTGTGTCAGTGTGCCACACAGTCGCGACGCCATTTGGGACGTTGCTGTGTGTGTCAACAGAGGCGCGTGGCCACCTCCGACACGAACGCATTTGTTCTGTGGCTTGCAAGTTTATTGCTGTAGCTTCGGTTCTTGTGAAACATCTTTACAGTCTTTTTTTGCGTTTGGCTTATGTATATGCAGAGCAACAACTGCAATTTCGCGTTCGGGTGGTCGAGCCAGATAGCCGCCTGCTCAGGAGCAGCGGAATGGGATCGCTGTGATGTCTCTCCCTCGTATTTGTGGATCTGGACATTGCGTCGTTATATGTTGTTATACGGACAGTGTTTACACGGGATAACCACGCGGTAATAACGATGAGCTTTTACCCACGAAATGTCAATCTACCGAGCCTCGAGTCTTTCGAGTATGGCTCTGCATCCGAGACGCAGCACACCAGGACAGACAGCTTCGCATCGACTGTTGTACCTGGTGTGGTGCTTAGTAAACATGACTGGAGAAACAAAGGCGGTCGATTGTGGATCTGGAAACAACCCATTGTGCGCCGTGCTGGCCTTAATAGGTGCTCGACATTAGTACTTGCTCCCACCGTCTGAATGGCTATATGTTGGCTTACGCACGTGGTGTGTTTTGAGTGTGGTGTATACTGTATCGTCTTGTGTGTGGTATGTACTGAGGTGTATATGTGGTGAGAAGTGGTTTATGTGTGCGGTGTGTATTTGTGTCGTGTGAGGGCGGTGTGGTGTGTATTATGTGGCGAAAGTGTATCTGTCTGGGGACCTCTGGTTAAATTGAGGACACTCAGTCTGTTTGATGGATGAATGCGGCAGGCCTGTTAGCTGTATTTAGTCGTGCACGTGTGTGTATGTATGTGTGTGTAGCCTTTAGCGTGCTGCTCTACGAACCCGGCGACCCGAGTTCAATTCACGCTCACGGCTAACATCAGTGACGATTATCTGAACTCGTCCTGTGCCTCCTCTAGGTCGACTCAGCCTCAAATGAGTACCTGGTAGAGTGTGTAAACTCCGCCACTGGGTAGACAAAGGCGGCCGGGCGTGGTGTTGGCCACCCAACCCCTCGTGTGCCGTGCCGGCCTTCATAGGTGCTCCCTAGCAGCACTTGCCCCGACAGTCTGTTACCGGCTATACGAGGGAGCTTTGTCTTGTTGGTGTGAAAAGTGAATCTGTCGGGGGGGCTCTCTGCTTAAACGACTGTCACTCGCTCTCTTGTTGATGGATGAACGAGGTGGCGTTGTTGCTGCACGCGTATGAGAATGAGGCCGCGGGCGCTGTCCCTGGTGCTGAACGCCTTGGCCCCGCGTGTTTCATTTATGGGGGTCGAATCGCTGGTCATGGGCGGCCTCTTAATGGTTTGTGTCGATAATAATAAAATGTAATAATGTCAGCATGTGCCGCGCTGCACAGTATTCACTCACTCTCGAAGGGATAGAACGACTCAGAGACATGTGGAAGAAGCACAGACGAACGGGAAAGGTAGCCAGGTGGTAAGTAGGCGTTAACAATTGTACAAGTTTTGTGTTGTCCTCTATATATTAAGGTGTTATCGGTCAATGAATGCTTAGTTGTCGGATGAAACCGGAGCACCCGAAACAAAACCCGGCCTTCATAGGTGCCCGCTAACACCACTTGCCCCAACAGTCTATTAAGGCTACAGGGCGATATTTGTCTCTGTGTTTGTTTCACACTCAGCGGCACCATCCCCGTGCCCCCGGCCCCCGGGAACTGCGATTTTCTTCGTTCGCGTCGCTTCGCTTCCAGGGCCGACCCTACATGACCCCGAGTGACTTCGTCGACTCCGTCACTCGCAACTCTCCCTGCGGTGCACACCTTTCATCGTTTTTACCTCCCCCCCCCCCGAACTTGTTTCTCATTCACGCTGCTTCACACTCTGGACAGATCGGCACACAGCCTCGGTGTATATAAACAATAAATTATCGTGTTTTTTGCGTTGCATCTTTTTTATTGTATCGGTGGCTCATGACATACGTCTAAAAACGTGTTGCTGAAGTTTGTGCAAAGCGTCCTATGTTGGCAAACTCGCATTACAAATAAACATGACGACGACGATGATGATGCTGCTGTTGACGGTGGCAGCACTGGCCTGTCATGTTAACTATAGGCACCTGTCTGTAACCAAGAGCCTCTTGCACAAGAGGCTAACCCATAACCCCGAATCCTGCCTCCTTAACAACACTCACCTCGAAGCATGATATGTAACGCTTAACCCGAGCACCTCACCACTGTCAAAAACAGAAATGATGCCACCACTAACCCTTCATTTTTCATCTCCCTTTCCCCTCTCCCCTCAGACGACGCTCCCAAGAGGATTCTCACCGAAAAGGTGACGTCAGCACGTGCACGAAGGGTCGGAGAGACAGACTTGAATCCCAGTGCTCGGATTAAGTCACACCCGTAGGATTCGTAGGATAAATTGTCAATGCCTGAGGCCCACATAGATCCAGGCGAAGGGGCTCTCAGGTATTCGTTCAGGGTCAGTGTTAATGACTGAAGCCTGGCAGAGTCAAACGAAGGCCGCTGTAAATGTTGACCCCCCCCCCGACACCCACACTGGCTTTGCACAGGAAGTTCAATCCATTCTGGCGAAGACTCCAGCCTTGGATGAGAGGAGATCACAGCTCTTCCATTCCATGGGTCACAACGGTAAAGTGTGCACGGAACGTATATACGTACACACACAGATACAGACTCATAGATACAAAGTTCTAAATGTACACGATACACATGTATGCTCATACATACATTCATATATGCACACAATTTACACACAAACAGGCTCTAGGTAGCACACAAGGTCTTAATTGTGCGATGTACACAACGTTTGATATTTCACATCGACAGCTGCGTGTGGCTCCTTATCGCCCACTGAACTTGTGTCTCTGTATTTCCCAATCACTGTTCACCCGTCCCTTCCCTGTCCCCTTATTTCCCTGTCCCCTCGTCTCCCTGTCCAATTGCCTGCCTGTCTCCTTGTCTCCCCACAGGGCTCATCTCGTACTCGGACTACCTGTTTCTGCTGTGCATCCTGACCAGTGAGACTCGCAGTCACCTCCTCATTAGCATCATCAGGCCCTCCTCGTTAGCTTTATCACGCCCCATGCTCATTAGCGCCATCGCCGTGCTCCTTATCAACTTCATCAGCATCAGCGCCAGTGTGACCCATCATGTCCATTACTAGAATCGCAATAGCCGTTCCTCATTGCGTTCAGTGAGCGTGCGCATCCGTACCCTTGTGTGTGCGTGCGCACGTGTTCTTGAGTACTTGTATGTGTGTGTATTTATGTAAGGCTAGAATGCGCCATCGTGGCGAGATGTTAACGCCCTCATCTGATATACAGGAGGTCGTGGTTTCGATCGCGACCCTGATGCCTGTCTATTTGGAGTTTGGATGTTCTCTCAGTGGTCGCGTGGATTTTTCTCCGGGTCCTCCGGTTTTTCCCTTCACATTGAGAAACGCGCGTTTAGAGTATTTGGCTGCTATCAATTTCCACGTGATAAGCCGCTTCGTTGAGCTATCATTTGTGGCCAGGTCGTTTCTGAAAAAGAGCTGTATAGCTCAGTGGGGTTTACCTGGAAACATGAAAATAGTGTTTTAGCATGTGTGTACTGGTACATGTGTAGTGGGCACGGATGGAGACAGAAACTTCTTCTTGGAGGCAACACGTTTATTTAACAACAGCCTTAACACAACGGGGTAGCTGCCCCTCACACCAGGTAACCTAGGGAGTTATATCCTCCGGGCTAGCTACTCTGAGCACACGGGGTGGCTATCGCG